GATTTAGCCAACGAGGGATCCTCGTTATTAGCGCTACAGGACGCGCCTTCCTCTACCAGTGGGAAAATTCAAGACGGGTCGTGGAAAGGTTTTCCAGGGGTCTGACACTAATAATGAGGCCTTCCAGACCTCTCACCAGCTCGCGTTGTTTAAGGCCTCGTACTTTGCCTCACGTGTGGAAATGCTCGCGCCGAAACGCTAATAATTAGGGCCTCCTCGCAGGCTATCCAGGAAAGCTTTCCACTCTCCGTTGAAGATTCTGCTTATGATTATTTGTGACAAAAACTCTCAGGAAGAATTTAATCAGACTAAGTTGTCGTTAGAGCAGCTAAATATTAGGCTCTAAATTCTTAACTAACACAATTTCAATCATCCACACACAATGCAGATACTCTAACTGCTTAGTCACAGGAAGACTCGATACAGCCTTAGGGTTAGTATTTGACGACCCTGCTACATACTACACTCAAAGAAGCCTACTGTATGTGAGCCTCTTCGAATGAGACCAATCGACATAAATACCGACTTTTTATTGTTTTGTTGTTTCTTTTCTTTAGCGCGGATGTGGAAAAAATCTTCTTCCTCGTCCTCCTTCTAAGATAATACTCTTTCACTATAATTTTAACACCAAATCAAACAATTCTTTATTTATTACTCTGAAAGATAATCGCACACAACTAATAAATGGAGAAAAACGCAAAGACGACGAGAATGAAAAAATAAAACAAAACTAAAACAAAGTTTTCTTTAAAATATTTTCAAAGTTCAATTTCCATTCTTTCTTTTCTTTCTTTTTTTTTCTTTTTAAGCCGGCGAGGAATATTTCGTCGTCAAAAACAACGAAACAATGATCACGCTGAAATAATTGTATCAGAAAAACTGCGGAGTAATGTTCACTTTCTACTGCAAAACATGGATTAGATGCTTTTTATAATCATAAACCAACAATTTGTTATGTTCAAAAGCAGTGACAGACCAGGGAGATTTAATTCCTACGTTAATGACTATGACTTTAATGAGGTCGCCATGTTCAGTGAACAAAAACATCTTACTCGATATAAAAAGTTCTCCATGAATGACGATGACTTCATCAGATGTTGTAAATTCCACCGAAAGAGGAAACTTGATTTTCTCAGCATCACGCCCCTTGTCTCCTATTGTTCTCAGATATTTGCATTCACGATCAAACAACTGAACTCTACGATTAAAATAATCTGCTATGGCAATCTTTCCTGTTCTTTTATTCACTGCAATGCTACCTGGTCCTTTAAACTGTCCCGGTTCTGTCCCATGTGATCCAAACGAATGAATAGCTATGTACTGATGACCAGTCGCCTGAACTCTCCAGGGACTACCAGTCAGCGGTTGGCCATTCACCTCAACAGAAATGTCACGTAAGCCAACACTCTTTGGCTTGTAACGCACTACGTAGCTTCCATTCTTACAGTCATCAATTTTCGTTTCCTCCTCCTCTTCTTTTTGAGAGCGGACTATTACAGTCAGTTCGTCTTGTTCATTATACCACTGAGTTCCCTTTGAATCTCGCGTAGTGACCGTGAAGTTAGTTTCATTGTTTGCTAGTGCTTCGATTAAACCTCTTCCTTCTGCCGATGACTGTGAAGGATCCGTGTTAGTCTCGAATACTTGACCCAAAACCAAGCCTCTAACAGTATTCATAGCTTCCACATTTACACAATAAACGACATGTTGAGGTATACATACTTCAACATCCTGTAAGGTTAAAAGTTCTTCGCATCGACCAAGCACAGCATGTCCTGCTTGCAGAATTTCAGGACCGATGCTTCGTTGTATGACATCTTCACCATTTTCGACAGAACTCCTTAGCTGAGCAGCGATTAACCGAACATTTCCTATTTCTGCTGCGAAATTCCTTTGTTGCGAGACTTTCATTTCTGCCAGCTTGGTTTTTACCGCAGTTTCATGTTCCTTCGCAACTCGAATAATTTCTTGCACAGTTTTCGTAACCTTCTCTTCAGCGGCGCAGATTTCTTCTTCCCTTTTTTTCATGAGTTCAGTTTGCTCCGATATCTTTGACTCCACGATAACAAGTTGTTCCTTAACTCTGGCAAAGACTTACGTCATTTGCATCTTTTGTTCTTCTGCAGCCTCTTGTAAGTGTACTAGAGTATGTCGATTATGACTCACTATACTGCACTTGCTGCAAATACAAACGCTACAGTCTTGACAATAATAATCAAGCGGTTCATTCTCGTG